GGCCCCGTTGGAGCCGCGCACCTCGACGGGCAGTCCCGGCTCCACATCCCCCCCCGAGGCCAGGCCGCCCATGGCGCCGCCACCGCCTCCGACTCCCCCGGCGGCGGCTGCAGCAGTGCTCTGAGTGCGGGCCGGGCCAGGTCCCCGGCGTCTCCCCGGAGGAGGAGCCGGAGGGGGAGCCGCGGGGGGCGGGAGCCGGGCCGGCCCCACGGCGGCCCTGCCACAGCCAACGAGCAGGGGGCCGGGGCCGGGCCGCTCCCCGTCCGCCGCCGCCGCCTTGGTCTCCGCCACCGTGAGGGAAACGGCCGTCGCCGCCGCTGCCTTCGTCACCTCAGCTTCCGCCCGCCGCCGCCCCCGCTGCTGCCTCAGTCCCGGGACCCGCTGCTGCCGCTGCCGCTCCACGGCCTCCACCTCCCCCTGCCGCCACCGCCTACTGCGCAGGCGCACCGAGCACCCGCCCGCCGCGCGCGGGCCCCAAGGGCCACTGCGCAGGCGTCGAAGCTGGCGACCCAGCTCGCGCTCGCCAGCGCATCAGGGCTTCTACACTCCTCTTCACTCTCTCACGCCCTCTCCTGGTCGCTTTTTTGCGCTTGCGCAGAATGAGACTGGCGCTCTTTCTTCGCCACCCCACCACTCCACCGTCCCCATCTCTTCCTTTCCCCGCCCCACAACACTGAGAGCTAACCAATCATGGGGAGGGAGGGGCCAAGCTCACTCAGTCGGATTGGGTTTCTGCTGCTCCTGGTCAGACCACACCCACTTCACCCTGAGAGCTCCACCAGGCTTGGGCAAGTTAGGGATGGGCATGCGCCTGAATGATTGCTTGGTCACTTTCCCCACCTTTGTCTTCCTTGATGCGCACGCTCCAAAGAAAAAAAAAGAGGAGTCAAAAGGAAAAAGGAGGGGCTGGTGCGCATGCGCTGAGCTTTAATGTCTACAGTCCGTATAGGCTCTTTTGATCATCTGTAACTCTTGTGAGAGGTTTACGAGTCACGTTCTTGCCTTGAGAAGATTCTGATCATGCATATATTGAAAGGTTAAAAAAGAATGTCAAGGCAGTACTGAAAGGCAAATGCAACTTAGATTAGCACAAGATTTGATATCTAAATGCTGAGAAAATTCAAAATAGGAAAAATTACTATGGAAAAAGGATAGCAGATGGAAAACTTAGGATTCTTAAACTAAAATAATTAAGAAGTTTAGGTATAAGTGAATAAAATCGTACACAAATTAGAATCATGTGTTGTGCAGTTAATCATTTGGCAAATATTTAGCCCTCACTCTGTTCCAATCACTATAAGTGGTAAGGATACAAAGGCAAGATGTGGGCCCAAAGACAAGACTTTCACAATGTGTTAGGGAAGGGACAGACAATTAAACACGTTTAAACAAACAAGTCAACAAATAAGTGCATGGCTTTAAATTGAAGACAGAAATAAGAACTAGGCATAGAGGCAACTCCAGGGAGGCAAACAATGGTCAATTGTTCAGAGTGATCCAGGAAGACCTCTGCAGGGGAGATGGTGCAAATTGAGATTTGAGGTATGAGTAGGAGTTTGCTAGAGGAAAAGTGCAGTAAGAGTATTCTTGAGAGAACAAAGAGTACAACAGTGCAAAGGAGCAGGAAGAGTTTGTCCTTTGGGGAACCACAACTAGTTTAAACAGCATTTGGCTTTAAGTAGGGACGCTGAATTGTGAAGGACTTACAAATCAGAATAAGGAAAATGGCCTTCACTTTATCAATACTGGAGAGCCCTTGAAAGATTTTAAACAGTAGTATAAAGTGATAGGATTTACAGTTTACAACGGTGGAGAATAGATTCAAGAGTAAGGACATTCCCTAAGGTGGTGAGACCTATGAGGGGCAGGTGATACTGAGGACATTTCAGACAGGGTCATGACATGTGCAGAAGGCTCAGAGAGGAGTGTATGGTGCATCTGAGGTACTGAAAAGAGTCAAACGTGGTCAGAACTTGAAGAGGAAACATGGCTGGAATAATATTTCCGATAACGGAGGTTTGGGCCAGAGCCTGGAGGGACTGACCAGAAGCTTGGAGTGCTGAAAACAGTGGCAGGATTTTCAGTAGACTTGCCTTTAGATGAGATTACTCTAGCTGGACTATAAACAGTGTGCAAACAGAATGTCCCAGCTCACCTTAGGACTTCTAAATACACAGACTAGGCAGGAGACAGATTGATAGCTGGACGGTTAGATAGATACTAAAAATGGGGATTAAACGAAAGTTTACAGATTGAATGTTGAGACTTTCCCCAGACTCCCTCTTCACCCAGCTCTGAGATTACCTACAGCCTGTCTTATACCCTGCAAGTGGGAGTCTGGAGTCTTCTCTGGGAAATCTGACCAGACAAGGAAAAAGACCTAATGGTATTGATATCAGTGGTTCCTCAAGGAAATGGCCTCTTGGATCACCCTATAGTGAAGATCACAGTCAACATGCCTCTCTACCTCTCACATAGATGCACACAGAACTTCCTTAGTGTACCTTAGTGTACGTCAATCTTAAATATGAGCAGATAATTGAGGATTACCAGTCATTTGAGGAAAGCTTCTAAAATGAAAGACAAAGGCCAAAACAAATAGAGAAAGAAAGAAAGAAAGAAAGAAAGAAAGAAAGAAAGAAAGAAAGAAAGAAACAAAGAAAGAAAGAGACAAAGAAAGAAAGAAACAAAGAAAGAAAGAAACAAAGGAAGAAACAAAGAAACAAAGAAAGAAACAAAGAGGGAAGGAAAGAAAAAGTTGGAGCAGAAATACAGATTACACAATGGAAAAAAACATTTTAAAAAATCACAAATATTCTCAGTTAAGAAAAGAATATATATCCATGAAATAAAACCAGAACTTTTTAAAATGCAGAGAATAAAAGAGAACTCTTAGAAATTAAAAACCTGAAAGCAGAAATAAAAATTCAATAGGAGGTATATAATATACAACATGATAGATATAATTAACACTGCTGTATGTTATATATGAAAATTGTTGCATTCTTATCACAAGAAAAATTTTTTCTGTATTTCTTTAATTTTGTACTATATGAAATGATGGATGGTAACTAAAATTATTGTGATAATCATTTTGCAATGTATGTAAATCAAATCATTATGCTGCATATCTTAAACTTATACAGTACTGAAATTATATCTTTTTAAAACTGAAAGAAAAATAGATAAAATTCATTAGTGGATAAAAAAATTCAATAGAAGGGTTGGAAAATAACATTAAAGAAATCTCCTGGAAAATAGAGGGGGGAAAAAAAGGAAAGAAAATAATTTTGAAAGTAAAAGACTAGTCCATGAAATTTAACATCTGAATAACAAAAGTTCCAGAAAGAGATCATAGAGATAATGGAGGGGAGGAAATTATCCAAAAAATAATAATAAATTTTTTAAATGTTTCCATAACTGAAGACATGAGTTTCCAGATTGCAAAAACCCACTAAGACCACACATTTCTGTGTAAGATCTCAGGATGCTAGGATAAAGAAAAGATCTTAAAACTGTGGTTGGGGAAAGAGAGAAGGAAAATAAAAATAGGCTTCATACAAAGGATTCAGAATAAGATTTCAGACTTCTTATCAGCAATACCAGAAGCTAGAAGGCAATGGAGAAATGCCTTAAAAATTCTCAGGGTAAACTATTTCCAAACTAATATTTGCTACCCATCCACACTGTCAATTATGTACAACAGTAAAATAGACATTTTCAGATTTTTAAGATCCCAACAAATTTACCTCCCAGGCATCCTTTCTGAAGAAGCTTCATCAAAATAAACGAAGAAAGATGAGTACATAGGTTCTGGGAAACAGGCTATGAACCCAAGACAGAGGAAAAGGGAGTCCCAAGGATGGATGTGAAGGGAGATACCAACAGTGTTGCCTAAAGATCAGACTCTGTGCTGAAGCAGGTCTAAAGGCTCTATGAGAAAGTTCTTCAACATGAAATAAATAAAATTCCTTAGGTGTTTATGTATTCTGAGAAAAGACTGACACAACTAAGGGAGAATTGGGGGATAAATAAGAGTATACAGAAAACTAAGGAAAATAAAGAAGACAAGGCAAGTGTTGATTCCAAGGAAAACAAAAATGGTGCAAGAGAAGAAAAACCAACCATCCACGTGGCTCAACTGTAAAGAGCATTTGTATAATCATAACGAAACACAGATTCAACCAGAGTTATGATATAATATTGGAAGGATGGGAGGATGAGAAGTGCAGGTGGGGTGATGGGGAAGTTGGAAAAGAGAGTTAGCAGTGGAAGATCCATAGTCATGCCTGCAGAAACATCAAAAAGTAGCAATATTTGTATGCTATTTTGAGTTTGAGATATGAAAGTAAATTGAAAAAAAAACAATTTAAAAACTCAATTGAAAGTGATTGACTTTGAAGAGTGAAGGGAATTGGGAGACTACTTCTTTCAATATATACACCTTATAGAAATATTTGATTCTTTAAATAATATATTGTATATCTTTGATAAAAATAAATAAATAACCCAGTTACAGGAAGGAATTAGGGAGTCTGGGAGATCAGTTAAGAGGCTATGGCAACTTTCAAAGAGAGATGATAGTGGAAGTAGGGATAGGGATGTGGAAAGATTTGACAGATATTTTAACTAAGTTTTCTCTATTTTCCCTTTAAAAACCCCTTACCCTAAATGCCCTTCCCTCTGTTCTCCCTGGAACGGAGAATGGCCAGACCCCAGGTGCTTATCATTCCATATCAGTCAGCCCCAACATCTAAGGCTCAAAAATTGGCATTACTCTGGAAGAATATGGGCCCCTGAATTGTTCTTTGACTAAATATTTTTAATTTGAATCTTTTAAGATGGATTCTTCAACTCTCCATACGCTATAGATCCTGTTTCTTACAATTTACACATTTGTTACCTACTTTTCAGTGTCTAAATTATGACCATTTAACCAATGGCTCATCTACAAAAGGAATAATATGCCAGCATGGATGGCAGATGACAGATGTGTTTAATAGTATGGGAAGATTTTCTGATTTATTGTTAAATGAAAAAAACAGGTCACAAAAGAGTACAATCCCATAAACGCCAACACACTTAACTAGTTATATGTATATATGTACGCTGAAAAAAACTAAAGAATTGATACCAAAGGGTTAATAATTATGTAAGTAAGGCTATGGATTCTATTTTTATATATACTTCAAATATTTCTTCAACAAACCTGTATTACTTGTGCAATAAAATATTATGAAAGTGGGGAATTAGTTTGTTTCCCTTCTTACCTTCATGGGCCCTTAAAGTTTGTTCCAGTTTTGCAGAACCGAAAATAAAGGCTTTGTGACTTTTGAAAAAGAAAAATCACTAAATAGCTGAGCGGATTTTTTAAAGTCAGGGCAAGTGAAATGCCCTGTGCCCCTGAAAAGCCACCACTAGGTGGCAGCCTGCTCCATCTGTTGAGTCTGTGGGCTAGCCTCAGTCATGGATTCTGCACAGCCCAGTCCACACACTGTACGCCTTTGTCTGGGTCCCAAACGTGACCTACAAGCCTGATGTGAAAGCTGGCCCCTTGCTCTTCTTTTCTCTAAATTCTACAGGCCAGAGCCAAGACTCTGGTCCATTGAGAGCGAAAGTCATCTTAGGCCCACCTTTACCCCCAGGAGCAACATCCACTGACCAGAACACTGAGGAAGGGTTGTAAAGTGGCTGAAGCTTATCACATACTCAATTTCTCCTCCCAACACCACATCAGCACATAGGAATTCTCATTTATTTTTCACCCTTAACAAGAAGGTGGGAAGGCCTTTTCCATGCTTCTGCTCTTTCCATTTGGGAATATTCACCCCCAATCCTCCTTCCTTCAGGAAGGCCTTTGTCGGTGGAGACTATCTCTGGGGTGATAGTCTCTAAGGAGTGCTTGAGCTGGTGGGCGTGGAGAAACTGAGATAGAGATTCTCAAGGGATGGGATCACTTTCCTGCCAGCTCCCTCATTGCCTCTCCTTCGAAGCGAAAGGAGTGCCAGCCCTCAGCTTCCGTCAGATCTTGGGCTCCTAGGGCCTTGTACAAGTCCATGGCCCTCTTGTTCCAGTCCAGGACTGACAGGCGGAACTGGGAGCAGCCCTTATCCAGGGCCACCTGTGGGAGAAGACATCACTCACTTGACTGGGGTCAAAAAGGAAAAGGCTTCCTCACCCTCCATTCAACCCAGGTGCCCCCCATACAGCTTTGCTTTGCCAGGGCCCAGCTTGTAGCCCCACCCCTCTCCTCACCTCAGCCACCTTTTTGATTATTTTGGAGCCAATCCCCTGACCTAATGTGGTGAGAAAAATGCAAAAAGAGGAATTGTCTGAGTTGAAGGGGATCAGACAAGGTCATAGGCTAGGATTAAGGGGCAAGAAATAGCAATCTGGTCTATGGGTGGCTTTTCTCCCATCCCAGCCTCTGTCCAGTACCCCGATATTCGGGCTTCACGTAGATGTCTTCCAGATAAATGTTTCGTCCCTTCCATGTGCTGTAGATGAAGTAGTACAGCCCATAGCCCACCACACAGGGCCCTGAGAGAGCAAAAAGAGGGGTGAAGCCGCAGACGCCTAGGGGAGAGAACTTTGAAGCTGACTGGAGTTTTTTTTGGGGGGGTAAGTAATTAGGTTTATTTACTTATTATGATAGAGGTACTGGGGACTGAACCCAGGACCATGCACTCTATCACTGAGCTACACCCTACCCCCAGGGCTGACTGAAGAAGTGACCTCTGAGGTCGGGGTAGTCTTACCCTGTGGCTCCCCGGGGGCAGGAAGAATCTCTGCTACCAAACAGTGATAAAAAGGATTCTCTCCAAAGCCATCTGCTCTCAGGGCTGCAGAGATCAGAGTTGTGACAGAGACAGAATGAAGGTCTAGGTGGGTCTGGTCTGGAGCTATTGCGTCGGGAACCCATCCCTCACTTCCACCCCAGCCTCCTTCAGGACCCAGGTGTTGGGCCCCTACCTTCTTCACTGATCTTCACCTGATCCAAGAGTTTCTCGTATTCAGCGAGTTCCTGTGGCGTAGAGGTTGAGGCTAGATTAGGGCAAAAGGGCCTATCTGCTCCCTAAGTAGGGCCTCCAGTGCCAGCTCCTCACCCTGCTCCCACTCCCACCTCCCCGCCCCATTTCGGCCGTGCCGCTCTGCCCAGCTCTGGGACCCCGGTTTCAGACCCGCAGCCTTCACCCGAATCAGCCTCAGGATATTTCCACAGTCTCCCTCCTTGGCCTCTCGGATCAGCACGGAAGCCATCCCGATCCCCACCGTCTGAGACTGAAGTCCAGGGCCCTCACTTCCGTTCTGCAGGATCGAGCAAAGAGCAACTGGGACCCTTTAAGGGGCCTGCAAATTCGGATCGTGGAAAGCCGGGGGAGCTGGGGGAGCGAGGCTGTGGGGACGCCGCGAGCTGGGAAGCCGAAGCCCAATTCCGGCTACTGCGGGGCCGAGAAAGTGGTCGGGCGAGTGCGCCTCATAGCCCGGTAGCCCCTAAATTCTGCCTCCGCCGGCGCTCAACCACCAGCCAATCAGCTTGCAGATCAGGCATGTCCCCGCCCCTCTGCCCTACCCACCGAGACCCGGTCTCGTGACCGCGCCCCTGGTCAGGGGTCAAGGCTGGACTGCCGAGGCTCCCTCGCTGTTGTTACGTGGGTGTTCCAGCCTCCACTGGAGAAATCCTACGGCCCAAAGACACCTCCTTCTTTAACTGAAGTGTGCAGTGATTACCTGCTCTACCCTTCACTCAAATTCACCCATTCCAGCCCACCCAGACCCTGGATGAGCCCCAAGACCTCCAGCTCATTCCTACTGGCTCAGAGTGTTACTTCTCTTGTATTTTAAATGGGTCGGGGGAGAGGGTGATGAATTTCTATTGGTAAATGGCTAGGCCTTGTCATAAACAATTAAGAGGAGATAACCGGGAGTTGGGAGGGGCAGATTTCTTAGTATCCACTGACTGTCACTCAGAGACAATACCTCCCTATGAGAAAAGCCTCAGAGGCCTGGGAAAATACTGCGAGAGGAGCTCAGAGCAGATACCAGGCACCATGCCTGCATTATCTCGATTCATCCTCATTCACAGAAACCCCATAAAGTAGGTATTATTTTTCACGTTTTACAGACAAGGACACTAAAGCACACTGGGGGGGTGACTTGCCCACAGTCACTCAGCTAGTATTTGGGATTCTGAGTCTCAGCTCTAGGCCTCGCGGAGGATGCTACTTGGGGAGCCCAGCAGGACTGTTCCTGTTGTTAGATCTCTTGATTGTCATCAAGGCAGCCTCCGCAGGTGGGCAGAAGGCTTGGAAGACACAGGTCAGGCTCTAGAGGAAGGGAAGAGGGAAGTCCTCTCCCAGCTCATAAACTTTCTCAGCAGTGGGGGAGGGTAGTGGAGGAACTCTGTCCCTTTCTCCATTTGTCCTCAGAGGGGCCGAAGGGTCAGTGGCCCTGTCTCCTGCCCTCCTTCTTACCCCCGAGGCAACCTTTAACCCTCCACCAACCATGTGTGAGGCTGCCTGCCCCCATGCTTTCTCCCCAGAGCTGTCTGAGGCACAGAGAGGACCAAGGCTGATAATGGAGAGCAGAGGACCACTGGCCACATGGTCCTAGCCACGCAGGAAGGGCCCTGAGACACACTGTCCCCAGCCAGGTCCAGGGGCAGGACAGGGTGCTCAGCCCCATCTGTGTTTAAATGAGCTACTCTTTGGCTCTACCCTGTTCCTTTCTTTCCTCCCCTGGCCTTGTAGCAGTGCCTCTCCCTCCCTCCCTCTGTCTCCGGCATGTCCTTATTTCAGCTTGTTTGTTTTCTATCTCTGACAGAGGACTCAGGACCCTCCTGCTCTACACCTCAGCAATGGCCCAGGACAAGAGCCTGTCACCATCATGACCTTCAGCCTCACCAAGATCACAAAGTATGGGGTTGACCTAATTCCTTGACCTAGTCCCCTGACCTCACCCTCTCTTCATCATCTCCTTTCTTTTCCATTTCTCCATGCCCTTCTCTCTCCCTGAAGTCCACCTCCCTCAACCTCACATCTACCATCAAAGGGCACACCCCATACCCAGTCCTTCTGTGTCCTTCCAGAACCTCCTCTTCCTATGAGTTTCGCACCTGGGATCCAGAGGGAGTGATTTTTTATGGTGACACCAACCCAAAGGATGACTGGTTTGTGCTGGGACTTCGGGATGGCAGGCCTGAGGTCCAGCTTCACAATCACTGGGCCCAGCTTACAGTGGTCACTGGACCCCGGCTGGATGATGGGAGGTGGCACCAGGTAAGCCAGATCTAGTCCTGAGAGAGGGGTGTCTTGAGCTGGTCTACGGAAGGGAACAGAACCAAGTTACTGGGTATCCCTTTACCATTGTCATCTCATTGAATCCACATAAAAGCCCCATGAAGCTGCTATTCTTGTCTCCATTTTTTTCAAAGAGGAATTCTGAGGCTTAGTATATAAGTGACAAGTCCCAAGTGAGCTAGTGATGTTAGCTGACTCTTCAAGTACGTGTTCTTTCTGCCATACAAAGCTGCCTCTGAAGAAAGTGGTGAAGGCAGGCCTCAGGGGTCCTGGTTCTGCTTCTCTTTTCCTTCCTGCAGTTAGAAGTGAAGATCCATGGGGACTCTGTGCTGCTGGGGTGGATGGGGAGGAGGTGCTGCCTGTGTCTGAGACAGGTCTCTGGGCCTCTGGCCAACAAACCCCAGCCCATCATGAGGATCGCGGTGGGGAGGCTGCTGTTCCCTGCCTCCAACCTCTGGTTACCGGTAACTGCATCACAGGGGTAACCAAAGCTGGTAAAGCTTTGCTGGCTGGGTGGCCATGGGGGTCTAAGTCCACACTTCATGGAGAGGGGATGGGGTGAGAGCTGCGTAGGGGGAGGCCAAATACTTGTGTCTTGGAGGGGAATAAGCTGAGGGTGGAGAGGCTGGGACTAGGGCTCAGATGTCCTGATTCCAGCATCCCCACATCTTCCCTTTCCCCCATGGGCTCCAATTGGTCCCTGCCCTGGATGACTGCCTGCACCAGCATGACTGGCTGGACCAACAGGCCCAGAGCTCAGCATCTGTCCCCACTGGCCTCAGAAGCTGCTCCGTAGAGTCTCAGCCTGGGATATTCTTCCCTCCAGGGACTGGTGCAGAACGCAGTCTTCAAGGTAAAGGCTATCTTTCTCTCCATGACCAGCTTGTATCCATTTCCCTCCACCACTAGCCTCTTCCGTCCACAAATACCCAACCTTGAGACCTCAGGAAGATCATTTCTCCCCCCCCCACCCCCCCAGACATTCCCCAGCCTCATGTAGAGCCCTGGGCCTTCTCCCTGGACCTGGGACTCCAGCTAGCAGCAGGCTCAGGCCCTCTCCTTGCCCTTGGGACCCCAGAAGACCCTCCTCGGCTCAGCCTTCACCTCCAAGATCAAGTAAGAGAGGGATGCTTCCTGTATTTGCTGGAGCCTGGAAGCAGTGGGAGAAAAGGGGACTCTAAGAAGTCAATACTAGGAAAGGTTAAGGGTAGGGGTTGGGGGATGGGGGGCCTGCAGAGACACATGTTGAAGCTGCCTACACCAAGCAAATGGCTTTTACTTAAGATTGTATATTTACCTGGGACTTGGGGTGGGTGTGGTTTTATAGAAGGCCAAGCCAGGAGAATGGAGGCAGGATCGAGGTGGTGAGAATGGCCAGTAATTAGACTGTGTGGCTAAGAGGCAGAATTGAGGCAGCCAGAGTGGGACCACAAGGTTCACTCTTTCCTCCCCAACTTGTGTCCCTTCCAATATACTCTGCATAAGGTGGTACTGTCTTCTGGGTCGGGGCCAGAGCTGGACCTGCCCCTGGTCTTGGGACTCCCTCTTCAGCTGAATCTGACTGTGTCCAGGGTGGTTCTGAGCCAGGGGCCAAAGAAGGAGATGCTTACTCTGCCTCCTGTGGGTCCTGGCTCCCTCTTCAACCTCTGGGCCCAGCTGCAGGGGCGTCTCTTCCTGGGGGCTTTGCCAGGTAAGAAAGTGATGTTCACGTTTCTCAGCACACCACTGGAAACAGCTAAGGGGAGGGGAGAAGATGGGAAGGGGTGCATTTTTAGGGGAAGAAAACCTCTGGGAGGGAAGAGGAAAAGGCTACAAGAAGAGAGAGGGTAAGCGGGTAGTGGGAGGAAGTGCTTTCAAAAATTTAGGTTGGAGAACTGGAAAAGCAGGGAGGAGCTTCTGGATCCAAGCCACCCTAATGTCCCCTCAATGCTACCTCCCTCTAGGAGAGGCCTCTTCTGCCTCCTTTTGCTTGGATGGCCTTTGGGCACAAGGCCAGAGGCTGGACATGGACCGGGCCTTGAGCAGAAACCAGGACATCTGGACTCACAGCTGTCCTCAGAGCCCAAGCAATGGCACTGACACCACCTATTAAATCCCTACCTAAGAACCCCCTTTGAACGTCACTCATTCATTTATTCAACAAATATTTACTGTGCATCTGCAATGTACCAGGTGCTGTGCCAAGCACTGGGTTATACTGATGAGCAATATTAACCCTGCTTCCTGCCCTCTCGGTGCTCACGGTCCCCTGGGGGAGGCAGGCATCCATCAAAGCCTAACAAGTGAGTGGATAATTGGAAACTCTGATAAGCATCATAAAGGAGCAGTCAGGGAGCTGAGAGAGCTTGGAGGCCAGCTGCCTTGACCTGGGTTGGGGGGGAGTCAAGGAGGGCTTTCTGAGGACGTGATGATAGCACCCACAGATACATACACCCCCACCTCCTTCCCCAGCAGCTATTCCTTTGGGACTTTAGCTTCCTTCCTCTGAGGCTGGTCCCCAGAAATCAGGAGGGAAGGGAAGAAGAGATGGGATTTTGTTGTCCTTTAGACTAGCCACTGCTATCCAAGAAAGAAGCAGCAGGGGGCGTGAGTGGGTCATAGAAAGATGAGGGCAGGGGTTCTGGGAAAAGGGGTGGAGGCAGCAGAGAGAAAATAAAAGGGAGGAGAGCAGAGGGAGAAAGCTGCCTGTCTCTCCTAGCCTTGGTGTACTTGCTGCGTTCCCAGAGGAATTTGTCTTTACTCCATTAAACAAGAATTGGCTTGTGCTAGTCCCAGCTGGAAAGGACAGATTCAGGAATATCTCTGCCCTCAAAGAATATATGGTGACCCAGCCCTAAGCCCCCAGACCTCTGCAGAATCCTGGTGCCCCAGCTCCTCCCTGGGGCACCCTTTTGCCCCAGCCCCCAGCTCCCTGGGAAACTTCATGCCCAACCCCCCAGCCCCTAGCTCCCAGCTCTCAGCCCTCTTGCAAATCCTTACATCCTAGCCCGAAGCTCCCAGCCCCCTAGGGAACTCCAGCCATCAGTCCCCACCTCTCAGTCCTCATCCCTCTTAGGAACTGTTAACCTAGCCCCCATCTCCAGACCCCATGGGGATCCTAGTGTGCCAGCTTCCCAGGTGATGAGGATCTTCCTACCAGTAATCCAGGCAACAGGGTGAGTCACTCACTGGACCTTCTGCCCCCTTTTTGCAGGGATCAGCCAGGACCTAAATGGCTCCAGGGTAAGGAGACTTCCAGAGAGTCTCAGGGTTGGAAGACACAAATCCTAGGCCCCTCCTTGGACCCTCTTGATCTCAAGTTTGCAAGGTCTATAGCTGCCTCCATCCAGTCAGAGTGTTTTGCAGGAAAGTCTTCAGCATGGCCAGGGAGCCCCAATTCAACTCTGGTCCCTGGGCAATGTTCAAGGTCAGCCTGGGCCACTTGGACATGTCCATTCAACTGACATTTCCTGAGCACCTACTGTATACCAGGCACTGTTCTAGACACAGAGAATGCATTGATGAAAAGGATAGACAGAATCCCTGCCCCTATGAAGCAAGCTCACAATATAAGGAAGGCAACAGCCAGACAGCTCATAAACAAAAATAAATAAGCAAGGCCATTTCCGATAGTGGGCATCTCCAGAAAGGGAACAGAATCCTGTAGTAGAAGCAAGGGTGGTAGAGAAGGAGTGACATTACCCAAGTGGTCAGGGAAGGCCTCCCTGAGGCAGTGTCACTTGAGCAGAGACCTGAATAATGAAAAGAAACCAGTCCTACGGGGCCTCGGGTATTGGCTAGTGGGGAGAGAGGTTAAAGGGCCTCAGCACACCTGGGATCGCACCAAGGGGGTTGTTCTGAGTTGTAACTTCCTGGCCTTGAGGAATTTCCCAGGGGCTAGCTTTTCTCTCCTTCCTCCACTCCATCCTGTCCAGGACACCGTGCCCCCAACCTCTCTTTCTCCAGCCTGCCCTAGATTCCAGGATTCCTGATTACCATCCAGAGCTGTCTACACTCTTTCATTAAGGCCCACCCCCCTACCCCGCTTTGACACAGACTCTGCCAGGACCCACCAAGGGCACCTACGATGCCTGCCCAGTGTCCTGTACCTCCCCCACACCCCTGAAACCTTTCCAGAGCTTGGCACCATATGCTGCAGCATTCAGGCCTGGTCTGCCCACTCACTCTACCCAATGTATTATCACTCTCTTCCCTTCCCCACCTTCCCTTCCTCTCCACCCTCCTCTACCCCTTTTCTCTTTTTTCTTCTCTCTTCTTTCTTTCTTTCTTTCTTTCTTTCTTTCTTTCTTCTTCTTTCTTTCTTTCTTTCTTCTTTCTTTCTTCTTTCCTT